ACGTAAAGGGAAAGAGGGATAAACAAGGTGAATAAGGGGAAGATTGGATATAGCTAAATACACTGAAGGAAAATTAATACAAACAGAAAAAAATATAAACATGGCAATAAAGGATTCCCGTAGTTGTGTGTGTATATCATATATATATATATATATACATATATATATATATATATATACATACATATACAATATATATATATATATATATATATATATATATATATATATATATATATATATATATATATATATATATACATATACACATATCCATATATGTATGTATAGGCCCTATAATGCAAAACCCAATTGATGAAATGAACACTAAAAAGTAAACAGAGAAACACATAAAACAAACGTATTAATTGACCAATGAACAATCACTTGACTTCTCTCCGTTACATGAAAAAAATACCAAGCTAGATCCCACGTGTCCTTTACCGAAAGTGAAGAATATTGAGAATTATTAGTCGTAAACGGTCAGACGGCATTAGTCTCTCTAACAAATTACAACACTACACTGACTGTGGGGCGACAGAGAGGGGAGGAGGAAGGAGGAGGAGGAGGGGGAGGAGAAGGAGGAAGAGGAGCAGGAGGAGGAGAAGGAGGAGGTGGAAAGGGAAAGGGGTAATGAGGAAAGAAGGGGAGGTCAGTGGACAAAATGTGAGTAAGGAGAAGGCGGTGTTGTGTGTGAGATACAAATCGTTTGATAGATATATAGATAGGTAGAGAGAGAGAGAATGGTGGTGAGAGAAATGTGTGAGAAATATATGTTCAAGCAGAGAAAGAAAGAGAAAGAGAGAGAGAGAGAGAGAGAGAGAGAGAGAGAGAGAGAGAGAGAGAGAGAGAGAGAGAGAGAGAGAGAGAGAGAGAGAGAGAGAGAGGAGAGAGAGAGGAGAAGAGAGAGAGAGAGAGTGAGAGTGAGAGAGAGAGAGGAGAAGAGGAGAAGAGGAGAAGAGGAGAAGAGGAGAAGAGGAGAAGAGGAGAAGAGAGAGAGGGAGAGAGAGGGAGCGAGAAGCAAGAAAGCAAGGAAGCGAGAAGCAAGGAAGCAAGAAAGCAAGAGAATGGGAGAGAGAGAGAGATGAGAGAGAGAGAGATGAGAGAGAGAGATGAGAGAGAGAGAGATGAGAGAGAGAGAGAGAGATGAGAGAGAGAGAGAGAGAGAGAGAGAGAGAGAGAGAGAGAGAGAGAGAGAGAGAGAGAGAGAGAGAGAGAGAGAGGGAGAGAGAGAGAGAGAGAGAGAGAGAGAGAGAGAGAGAGAGAGAGAGAGAGAGAGAGAGAGAGAGAGAGAGAGAGAGAATACGAGAAAGCGAGAAAGCAAGAGCGAGAACGCAAGGAAGCGAGAAAGCAAGAAAGAGAGCGAGAGAGCAAAGAAGTGAGAGAGCGAGAACAAGAGAGAGAGAGAGAGAGAGAGAGAGAGAGAGAGAGAGAGAGAGAGAGAGAGAGAGAGAGAGAGAGAGAGAGAGAGAGAGAGAGAGAGAGAGAGAGAGAGAGAGAGAGAGAGAGAGAGAGAGAGAGAGAGAGAGAGAGAGAGAGAGAGAGAGAAGCAGAAACAGAGAGAGAGACAGAGGGAAAGACAGACATAGGCAGAAAGAGATATTACGTAAACGAGATTTTAGAAAAAAAAGGAAGAGAAAAAAAGACAAAGCGACAACAGTGTGGGCGTGTGGGCTTGTGGGCGTGTTTCGTGGCAAGGAGAGGATAAGCAAATCACTTGCCTCTTGGGGCGGTACATCAAACACACTGGTCCGCAAGTCAACCTTGCTGTAGGACTCAATGCATGGCAAGATGAAGAAGATTCCTGTGGGAAGATAAGTGGTTCTCATCTGGGTTTAGGATTCGATAATGCAGTTACCATAAAGATTCTCTTTTTATAAGGGATTTGGGGGTCGGAGGTAAGTATGGACGAATGAAATAAATTGGAAGAGGATCGAGCTGGCTGGAACTCAACATCGGCGATCTGATCCCGATGTTCGCCGGCGTCCTGGAAGCTGAAGTCAAGAGATATGAATTCGGACGATGCGTTAAAGACAACACGAACTGGTGATTAAAATCGGCACATAATATATAGATATATAAGTAAAAACAATACTCTTCACTCCATACATACAAACGTGGGTACAAGACTCACAACCAACCACACACACTTGCACGCACTGACAGGCACGTGAGTAAATACAGCCAGACGAAAGCATAAAGAAGTAATAGAGAGCTATAGAGATAGAGATAGAAGATAGAGAGAGAGAGTAAGAGAGAGAGAGGAGAGAGAGGAGACAGAGAGATAGAGAGGATGGATAATAAATAACTAAGCAGAGATAGAGATATAGAGAGAGAGATACCACAACCCTATAGAAGAATATATAATATAAATCAAATATGGAATATATATATAATATAGATATAGAATAGAAGATGATATATAAGTAGAGATAGAGAAGGTAGAAGATATAGATGGATATAGAGATAGGAGGTAGATATAGTAGTATATGATAGAGAG